CCAACTCAGGTGGGAGTGGATGGTGGCTCAGACCTCGGAGGCAGGAGTGGAGTGTGGAAATTGGTAGGGTTCCAGATACATTTTGAAGGTGGAGTCAACAGGAATTACTGGTGGGGGCTATAAGAGAAAGAGAGGAGTCGCTCCCATTAACTGAAAGGGGGAAGGCTGAGGAGGAGCAGGCACTCTATTTCGGACCTGTTTGAGGAGCTGGCGGGGCCGCCAGGTGTGAGGCTTTGCCAGCCCGGTGGCTCCCCCGGCGCCTTACGCCCGGCTTGTGCTGGAGCGTGGTTTTGGTGGTGAGCGTTACAAGATGGGAACGCTCCCGGAATGTAGAAATATCCCGCTGTGGGCGAAAGTTCCCGAAGACCTGAAAGATCCAGGGGTGTTCCCGGTCCGGACGCGGCTGCTGGGAGCCATGTTTGGCCGGCACGGATCTCGAATCCCTTACATCGAGCAGAGAAGCAAGGCCATGCTCCAGCTGAAGGCTCTGGAGTCTTCAGACCCCACTGAGGTCGTGGTTCATGGCTCCTATTTATACAAGCTCGGGACCCCGTGGACGTCCAGTCCATGGCTGAGTGGCACCGCCAGCGCCAGGAGCGAGGGATGCTCAAACTTGCAGAAGCCATGAATGCCCTGGAACTAGGCCCTTGGATGAAGTGAACCAGCTTCCAGCCAGGATGAAGGCCAGGATGTAGAGATTAGGCTGTGGCCAGAGCTGGAGTGATTTCTCCAGCTTGGTTTAAAATCTGCTCCAGCCTGAGGAGTTAAGGGAAAATCATCTGTTTAGGGGTCTCTGCCCTTAGGTCTGAGTCTTGTTGTGAGTATCTCTTTGATGGCTGCCAATAAAAAGGTTTTTCTTTTTTAAATAATAAGCTTGAGGTGCCATACAAGCAAGAATGTCAAGCACATGATGGATGTACAAGTCTGGAAGGAGATGGGGGCTAGGGATGAAGTCTGGGAGAGGGTTCAAAACATGTTTAAAGTGTCCATGAACTCTCACATTTTGCAAATGGGATTATATTCTGGTATAATCTTTTTGGAGGGCATTTTGGCAGTATCTCAACTACTAAAAATGTACACACCTTTGGCCAGCCCTTCTATGATATTGTCTCACAGAAACACTAGACAGCTATGCAAACTATGCACAAACATGAACAAGGTGGCTCATTACTGCATTTTTATAGGAGCAAAAAAACAAGTATTTCTCCATGAGTTGCCATAGGACGTAAGTAAAAAACACAAATGGCAGGACAATATCCATGCGTAACATTATTTCACTAGTTTTTGTTTTTTTTTTTGAGACAGAGTCTCACTCTGTTGCCCAGGCTGGAGTGCAGTGACACTATCTCAGCTCAGTACAAGCCTCCCAGGTTCAAGCAATTCTTGTGTCTCAGGCTCCCAAGTAGCTGGGATTACAGGCATATGCCACCACACCTGATTATTTTTGGTATTTTTAGTAGAGACAGGGTTCGTCATGTTGGCCAGGCTGGTCTTGGACTCCTGGCCTCAAGCAATACACCCGCCCAGTCTTCCAAAGTGCTGGGATTACAGGCATGAGCCACCACACCCGACCTGTTTTTAAACAACTTTTTAACTGTCTTGACAGATATTAGTGTTTGTGTAGGCAGAAAAAAATGGCTGAAAGTAAGCAGAAATACTCTAATAATTTTGGGGAAAGGACTGAGAGGAGGACACTTCCTTTTTATTATTTATGCACTATTTGAATTTGTTTTTATACACAGGTGTCCAAACTTTCGGCTTCCCTGGGCCACATTAGAAGAATTGTCTTGGGCCACACCTACAATGCACTAACACGATTGCTGATAAGCTTAAAAAAATGGGGTCCATGCATAATGTTCATGATATCTACACCACAAATAAGCAAAATCATCCTTGCAATCAAAAAGTTGGACATTTGTGAAACTCTGAAATTTAAGTTTAAAAAAATATGAAAAACAAAGGCCAGGTGCAGTGGCTCGTGCCTGTAATTCCAACATTTTGGGAGGTGAAGGCCGGAGGATTGTGTGAAGCCAGGTGTTTGAGACCAGCCTGGGCAACACAAGGAGACTTTGTTTCTACAAATAATTTTAAATATTTGCTGGGCATGGTGGTGCAGGACTGTGGTCCCAGCTACTCGGGAGGCTGAGGCAGGGGTGTTGCCTGAGCCCAGGAGGTTGAAGCTGTAATGAGCTGTGATCATACCCCTGAACCCCAGCCTGGGTGACAGAGTGAGAACCTGTCTCAAAAAGAAAAAAGCAGTGAAAAAAAAAAACAAGTAATGGCCAAAAATGTGTGTGGGAGCCCAGACGTAAACAAACAAACAAAAATGCGGTCAATAGAACAGGTTATAAGATGAAGACAGCACCTCACAAGGAACTCCCTTTGTGCTGATGAAGTCCCCAGGGGAGGGGAGCTGAAGACTGGTTCCAAAAGTGACCTGAGCCCTGTTACCCGTGCAGGGTCGCAGCCATTCATTTCTATTCAGTTAGCCAGGGAGCAAACAAAAATCGAATGCCGGGCATGGTGCAATCAGGGATGAATCCAGTTTATCAAGCAGAGAGATACTGGTAGAACAGGAACCCGAGGGTGGAGACAGGTGATACGCAGAAGAAATGGGAAGGCAGGGAAGAGAGTGTATCAGTCGGAGGAAGTGGGCAGCAGCACCAGAGGCTGCTGAGAGGTCAAGGGAGATGAGGACCGAGGGGTGGCTGTTGCCACTGGAGGGACCAGAGGGTGCTGGTGACCTCGGCCTGGAGCCAGGGGGTGGGAGGGGTCATGTAAAGCTAAGGGAGACCTCTCCCAGGCTACTCAGACTCTGTGACTGTCTCTGAGGCTATCTAGAGGCAGGATGGAGAAGCCAAAAGTATGACAAGGGTGCGTTGTCCTGTCCTTCCTGGTAACAGGGAAGGGGGCCATGGAGCCTCCTCCACAAGCAGAACTGCTCCTAAGTGACAAGACCACCCAATTGGGGCTCCATTTGCCTCATTAGAGCAATGGAGGTCTGCTGCACTCCTCTTCCTACCCACAGCTCCCTCCTGCACTACTGGGGGCTTGCATGCATGTGGAAAATTGGAGAAATGCCTGTTTGCCAAAGCTCCCTCCACTTCCCTCCTCTTCCCCCACCATAGCCACCCTTTTAAGTCAGCCCTGGGAGGACAGACTTGAAGAAGAGGACTGCATAGACCCTGGAGTAAACTCAGGACATGGACACATACTTTTGGGGTCCCAGGTACCTAGAGGGCAGGCATGGGGCACATCATCTTGGCCCTGTGGTCTCTTACTCTGTGGGAAAGAGTGCAGTTGGGGGACAGCCAGAGATGGGCCTTGCACATACACAGTCCATGGCAGGCAATCCTGGCTTCTCAGCTCTCAGGACAGAAAAGGTACTGGAAAGGACAAAAGAGAGAACCAGGCCCAACCAACAGAAGTAGAATTGGAAGTAGCACAGGCATGTGGGCAAGTATCCGAGCACTCATCTCTGGAAGTGGTTTCAGGATGCACGGCAAACAAACTCACCGTGGAGTAGAAAGTGGTTATATCGCTTGTGAACAAAAGCTATCATGTGCAAATGACAACAGTCAATATGATGTCACGCTGCTGCCCTGGACAAACAATCCTCTTCCCCAGTCTCAGGGATGATCTCATCACCCCCTGATTGCACACATAGGACACCTGGGCGTCATTCCTGGTGTCTGTTTCTCACCTCCCATTATCCATCAGCAAGTCTTGTCAATTCTACTTTTTGGATGTGTCTCTAATCCAGTTCCCTGTCTCTCATCCAATCTCCCTTCATCTCTTTCCTAACCATTGTGTTAGTTTCCTAACTGAACCTCCTGATGCCTCTTGCCTCTCCTGTCTATTCTTACAGCAATCAGAATGATCTCAGTAAAACAGAGCTGATCATGACATCCCCAAGCTTAAGACCCTTGATAAGCCTCCTCCTGCACTCAGAAGAAAGTCCAAATTCCCTAATGTGGCCTACCAACCCACTTACAATCTGGCCCCAACCTATCAGTGTCATTCCTCCACCTTCACACTTTTTAAGTTCCACTCCTCCTGAATTTCTTTCAGTCCTTCCCACATTTTAAGATTTCTGTAGAGATGGGGTCTCCCTATGTTGCCCAGACTGGTCTCAAACTCCTGGCCTTAAGTGATCCTCCTACCTCAGCCTCCCAAAGTGTTGGGATTACAGGTGTGAGCCACCACACACACCATGCTCTTATTCAAGTACTTTTTTTTTTTTTAAGACGGGGTTTCACCATGTTGGTCAGGCTGGTCTTGAACTCCCGACCTCAGGTGATCCGACCGCCTTGGCCTCCAAAGTGCTTGGATTACAGGCGTGAACTATCACGCCTGGCCTCAAGTACTTTTTTTATTTTTTGCCGTTCTACTAACTGTGGAGTTGTATTGCATTGTGGTTTTAATTTCCACCTCCCTGATGACTAATAATGTTTGTCTACTCATTCTTTGAAATCTCTGCTTGGTTTTCATTTATTCCAAGAAGTAATCGCCCCTTCTACAGACTAAGTTCCTGTCCTCCTTTGTAGTTCCATGACAAACAATATTTATCTCCACCTTAGCCTTAACCCACTGAAGTACAGCTGTTTTCCCATTACCTCCACACGCACCACCCTCATCACAAACACACACATACACCACCGTGCACTTCCCGAAGGCAGAAGATATTACAAGACACCATACTTCTTTGGTATCTTCAGCTACCAGCACAGACCTGAAACACAACCCTAATACAATAAATATGAGTGGGTGAACAACTGCTGAACAAATTAAAGAATGGATGAAGGTAGGTAGGTACCAGGTTTTGCAGACAGGCCTGGCTGTGTCAGTTAAACCTTTCTCCTGGGTCCTTACATTAGTAAGCTCACTTTTAAAGAGACGAGGCTGAAGACGCGAACGGTTACGACGACCACAGCGATGACGTACTCCGAGAGAAAGGCAAGGCGGAAGGGGCGGGGCCGGAAGCGGAAGGGCCGCAGGGCGTTAGCGGCGTCTCCGTCGCCATGGAGACCAGGAGCTCCAGCGCACCGAGGTCTTCAGCGTCCCCGACCTACGAGTGCCCGGGGACGATGTGGCCGCCAGCTTCGCCACCGGCCGGGTCCAGCAGCCCCAGCCAACCCACCTGGAAGTCCTCCTTGTCTTCCTCTCTCGCCTGCTCCGAGGGCTTCCCCCACAGCTTCGCAGCCAGGCCGCGCCGCCTCACGCAGCTCGAGCTCGCGCCGCGCCCGGAGCCGCAGCTGCTTCGTCTGCGCCCCTCCTCGCTGCGCACCCAGGACATCTCCCACTTGCTCACCGGCGTCTTCCGCAACTTGTACTCGGCCGAGGTCATCGGCGACGACCTGAGCGCAAACTTGATCAAGGCCCGCGGCAGCGACAATGAGCGCCACGAGGAGTTCGTGGACCAGCTGCAGCAGGTAACGCGGCGGTGGTAACGCGGCGGTAGCGTCGCGTCTGCGGACGGTGCTGAGGACTCAGCGTTCGGCACGCGTGAGCACCTGCCGGGTACCAGGTGCTGTTCCAGGATCTGGGGCTGCAGCTGAGAAACAGCCCATCATGCCAAAGTGGGCCCGACATTCTAGTGGAAAGACGCACTAGCCATACACACACATGGGTATACCACGCACGTGCGGCACGTGTCTACAGCACCTATCTATATTTCTCTGGACACATATGTTATATATTGCATATATCAATGAACAACTGCGGCGAACCGCTGAATAGTTGCTCCATGGAGATGATAAAGCCAAAAGTCACGCCGCTTTGGGGTGCCTTTTTATCATAAACCACAGTCTTGACTGGGCCAGTCATGCGCAGATTTTAGGAAGCGTGTCTAGTCTCTGGAACAGCAAAAACCAGCTGACGTGGGGCCTCTGTGCTGAGTCAGCCTCTGCTGGCCACACTACTAAGGATTCGCTTAAACTTGTGGGCACTCCTCCCCAACCGGATCCTTTACTCCTGTGTGCCTGCCTCCTGCCTCTCAGATCTTCTTCTCCATTCCATTCTGTTCTCTACCCGCCCCTTAAGTGACATGCATCTCTTGTCCTTCGCTTCAGTCATTCCTTCACTTGACACATTTGTTGGCTGGGCGCGTGGCTCACGCCTGTAATCCCAGCACTTTGGGAGGCTGAAGTGGGCGGATCACCTGAGGTCTCGAGTTTGAGACCAGCCTGATCAACATGGAGGAAATTCTGTCTTTACTAAAAATACAAAATTAGCCGGGCATCGTTGCAGGCTCCTGTAATCCCAGCTACCCGGGAGGCTGAGGCAGGAGAATCGCTTGAACCTGGGAGGTGGAGGTTGCGGTGAGCCGAGATCTCGCTATTGCACTCCAGCCTGGGCAACAAGAGTGAAACTCCATCTCAAAAACACAAAACAAAACGAGACACATTTGTTGAACGTCTGCTGGATGTCATGCTCTGTTCTACGAAGTGGGAATTCGGCAGTGAATAAAAACGCCAGTGTTCAGGCACACACACACTCACACATGCAACCTGTCCTCTGTAGCTTTCAACCTAACTGAGGTAGCTAGATGTTAACAAAATGAATACCCATACAGTATGTGAGATAGTCTTAAGACCAGCCTTGCCCCCTCCATGGGCCATAGGCTTCTTGAAATGCAGCCAGAAACCCCGGCTAAGACCCTGTACTCTAATTCCTGGGTCACCACATTCACTCTGCTAAGACTTCAGCCTACCCAGGCCAGATCTCGCCCTTGTACTTCTGACTCACATCCCTGTCATTCACATAAGCCGGAATATATGGAGCATCATAAACCTATAAACACCACAACCAGTCACCCAGTTCACTGGATTCTACTCAGTATCTGTCCCGCAAGAAGCCACTACACCAGAGTCTGAATTGGCAAAGAGTGATCCCTCTTTTAGAAAAAAAAAAAAAAAAAAAGGAATACCCTTTTTTTTTAGACAGGGTCTGGCTCTGTTGCCCAGGCTGGAGTGCAGTGGCGTGATCACAGCTCACTGCAGCCTTGACATCAGGGGCTCAACTGATCCTCCCACCTCAGTATCTGGAGTAGCAGGGACCACAGGTGTGCACCAGTATGCCCAGCTAATTTTTTGTTTTTCAGAAATTGTGAGACAGGGTCCCACTCTGTTGCCCAGGCTGGTCTCAAACTCCTGGCCTCAATCAATCTTTCCACCCTGGCCTCCCCAGGTGTCTGTATTACAAGTGTGAGCCACTGTGCCTGGCCCATATTATAAAAATCTTAATTTAAAAGCTGAAATTAATGTAAACATTTGAAGTTTTTAAATTGCAGAAAATTTAGAATGCAGAAAAGTTTAAAGAGTGATCCTGTAGAAATACAACTATGCAAAGATAAGTCGACTTTATAAATTATGGTATATTCACACTACAGAATACTATGAAGTTGTTAAAAAGAATGAATTATATCTGCATTATGGAGCTAACATTTATTTATTTATTTTTATTTAATTTATTTACATTTTTTTTAGATGGAGTCTCCCTCTGTTGCCCAGGCTGGGTGCAGTGGCACAATCTTTGCTCACTGCAACCTTTGTCTCCTGGGTTCAAGCGATTCTCCTGCATCAGCCTCCCAAGTCGCTGGGATTACAGGCATGTGCCACCATGCCTGGCTAATTTTTCTATTTTTAGTAGAGATGGGGTTTCACCATGTTGGCCAGGCTGGTCTGGAACTCCTGACCTCAAGTGATCCGCCTGCGTCAGCTTCCCAGAGTGCTAGGATTACAAGCGTGAGCCACCACGCCTGGCCTCCCATTTATTAATTTAGCAAAAAGCCATAGAACAATGTTAGGATAATTCCATTTTTTATAATATGTTTAGTTGCGAAGAAAGCTAAAAACTTTTACAACAAAATGTTAGCAATACTCTTACAGGACATTTAACTTTTTCTTTTCCCATTTCTGTATTGTCTGAATTTTGCCATGTACATGAATTAATTTTGTAATTACAAAAAAGAAACTTTGAAAAGAGCAGGCATCTGTTATTCCACTTTTGCAATGTTGCTTTTCTTATACCCGCATTCCTCTCCCTCTTTCCTCTGTCATCATCTGTTCTTTGCTTTTCCTCAATTGTCTCTAGATGTCAGCGCCACATGACTGGAAAGGACTCAAATTCATTCTCCCTGGGAGAATCGATAATCACTATTCCATATGAGTGTCTGCATTGACTGAGTTTTCCCTCAGATGGCCCCCTTGGCTGCTGGTCCTCCCTAGGTCCACCTATAGAAATACCGCATGGTAGCCGGGCGCAGTGGCTCAAGCCTGTAATCCCAGCACTTTGGGAGGCCAAGGCGGGTGGATCACAAGGTCAGGAGATCGAGACCATCCTGGTCAACATGGTGAAACCCCGTCTCTACTAAAAATACAAAAAAATTAGCTGGGCATGGTGGCGCGTGCCTGTAATCCCAGCTACTCAGGATGCTGAGGCAGGAGAATTGCTTGGACCTGGGAGGTTGAGGTTGCAGTGAGCCAAGGTCGCGCCACTGCACTCTGGCCTGGCGCCTGGTGACAGAGTGAGACTCTGTCTCAAAAAAAAAAAAAAAAGAAAGAAAGAAAGAAATATCACATGGTCTAATGACTAAGAGCAGATGCTCTGGAACCGTGTGCCCTGGGTGCAAATCCTGGCTCCTGCACATACCATCTGTATGACCTTGGGTTATCCTTACATCTATATGCCTCAGTTTCCTTATCTATAAAATACAGATAGTAACAATATTCACCCCATAGGTTCTGAGGAGTAAATGAGTCAATACAGTAAAGCGTTTACAACATTGAGTATTTACAATATGGTAAGCACTCAGTAAGTGATGGTTGGTCTTATTATTGGTAAGTTATTATTTGGATAAGATGCTAATTTCTGCATCCAAAAGTCAGGGTCAGAGATTGTCAGCAGTCCCGAATAAAAAGATACATGCCACAGAACATAATACTTTATATCTGAGGACATGTCCCAGACCATTGTCTCCTGAAAGGCGTTTCCTGACCTCAAGAAGATGTAGCTATTTCCTCTTAGCAGTCCTTATATCCTAATTCAGATGCCATTATAGCACTTTTAAGAGTTTATTCCACCTATTTGTATCCTTGCCAGGCTCCTCCTGTTAAACCGTAAGCTCTCTGAGACCAAAAACCATATCTGACTCATTTCCCCAAATGTAAATTGTAAATACACAATAAATCTTATTTTATTTTATTTATTTACTTATTTTTTTGAGATTGAGTTTTGCTCCTGTTGCCCATGCTGGAGTGCAATGGCATGATCTTGGCTCACTGCAACCTCTGTCTCCTGGGTTCAAGTGATTCTTCTGCCTTAGCCTCCCACATAGCTGGGATTACAGGTGCCTACCACCACACCCGGCTGCACAATAAATCTTTATTAAAAGAATGACTAAATAAATATCTTTGTGGTCCCACTAACTTTAGGAATACAATAAGGAACACTGTCTCCCTACATAAACTACGTTGTTTTTTTCTTTAAAAGAAATGGAGTTGGCCAGGCATGGTGGCTCATGCCTGTAATCCCAATACTTAGAGAGGCTGAGGTGGGAGTATCACTTGAGTTCAGGAGTTTGAGACACCATCTCTCTTTTTGTTTTCTTTTCTTTTTATTATTTTTTATTTTTTATTAAACTTATAAAAACAATAGAGATGGGGTTTCACCATCTTGGCCAGGCTGATCTTCAACTCCTGACCTCATGATCCACCCACCTCGGCCTCCCAGAGTGCTGGGATTACAGGCATGAGCCACCATGCCCAGCCTGAGACACCATCTCTACAAAAATTTAAAAATTTGCTGGACATGGTGGTGTATGCCTGTAATCCCAGCTACTTGGAGGCTGAGGCAGGAGGATCCCTTGGCCCCAGGAAGAGCAGGCAGTGGTGAGCCATGATTACGCCACTGTACTCCAGGCTAAGCCACAAAGCAAGACTCCAGCTGTAATAAATAAGAAAGGAAAAGAAGGCCAGGCGGTGGCTCATGCCTGTAATCCCAGCACTTTGGGAGGCTGAGGTGGGTGGATCACCTGAGGTCAGGGGTTCGAGACCAGCCCGGCCAACATGGTGAAGCTTCGTCTCTACTAAAAATACAAGAAATTAGCTGGGCATGGTAGTGGGCGCCTGTAATCCCAGCTGCTCCAGAGGCTGAAGCAGGAGAGTCGCTTGAACACAAGAGGCAGAGGTTGCAGTAAGCCAAGTTCGTGCCATTGCACTCCAGCCTGGGCAACAAGAGCAAAACTGTCTCAAAAAAAAAGGAAGGAAGGAAAAGAAAGAGGCAGGGTCTCACTGTGTTGCCCAGGCTGGCTTGCACTCCTAGGCTCAAGCCATTCCCTTGCCTCAGCCTACCAAGTAGTTGGGACTACAGGTGCACACCACCCTGCCTGGCTAATGCAGACTCTCTTTCATATTACCTGTACCAGTGAGCTCTCTGCTTCCTGCGTTAAGAAGTCTGAACCAGAAAATATGGATCAGAAATTTGGCTGGTTGACTAGTCAATCTGTAATTAGTCTTGGGGGCCCAACAAGCCTTGGCAAATGCAGCAGGTTGCTCTGGAGAGAGTATTGCCTGTCACAGTTTCTCTGTCTGGGCCAAAATGGCGAGGGCTTTATCCCCCTGCCTCTCTCGGTCACTGGATGTAGGTGCTGCAGAAAGGACATGGTCTCAGGTGAGTCCTTTTCAGCAGCTTAGGTAGACTGTGAATCGGCTGTCTGCTGAGCACGTTCCCTGTAGCTAGGGAGCACGTCCTTCCTTGAATGTGGTTTTGGGTGGCACCACAGGAAGTATGCTAACTTGTATCTGGTGTTTCACTGTTCGGATGGCAGCTGTCTTTACTGTGAAGTCAGGAGACAGGTTACCAAGCTTGAGTCTGTTACTGCCTTTACTGTGAAATCTGTAAGTCATTCCCCTCTATGGAGCTCAGTTTTCAGATCTAGTAGGTCAGACCAGATGGTTGCAGTAGTTCTCTGGCTATTCTGTGCCTCACTGGAAGCCCTGGTGCTAGGGTGGGGCTGAGTAAAGCTAAGTAATGCTAAGTAATCTAACCAGGTTTCTGTATGTTTGATCATCCCCCTGCCAGATTCGGGAGCTCTATAAGCAGCGGCTGGATGAGTTTGAAATGTTGGAGAGACATATCACTCAGGCCCAAGCACGGGCTATTGCGGAAGAAGAGCGGGTCATGAGCCAGGTCAGAGTACAGGACCTTGAGAGCCTCGTCAAGTTGCCTCCAGGTGTGCATAAAGAACTCCCATAGGCTGGGTGCAGTGGCTCATGCCTGTAATCCCAGCTCACTGGGAGGCTGAGGGGGGCGGATCACCAGAGGTCGGGAGTTTGAGATCAGCGTGGCTAACATGGTGAAACCCCATCTCTACTAAATATACAAAATTAGCTGGGGGTGATGGCACGCACCTGCAATCCCAGCTACTTGAGAGGCTGAAGCAGGAGAATCGCTTGAACCTGGGAGGCGGAGGTTGCAGTGAGCTGAGATCGCGCCACTGAACTCCAACCAAGTCTGGACTGTCTTACTCTGTCTTACTTTGGGCACCAGAGTAAGACTCGGTCTCAAAAAAAAAAAACCCCAAGAATTCCCGTATGCTGGCTCCTGATTCCCCAGCTGTTAATGTTTGACTGTATTTGCTTCATTGCCCACTCTCTAGGCTTTTTCTGCACATTTGGAGAGCAAGTTGCAGACATGGTAATACGAGTATTACCACAAAAGAATATTTCATTACCACAGAACACTTCAGTATGTGTATCTCCAAAACAGGGACGCTCTCCTACATAACCACCATGTAACCCCCGCAACCGGGAAATCAGTTTCTGTGCAGCACTGACCTCTGACCCACAGACACCCGTCAATCTCAATAGCAAAGAAAGACTCTCTAAAAGAAAATAACGGGCACTGTATTGGGAATGCACATGCCATTGTAAACTGCGCGTATTCAGGGAGGTAAAGGAAGACAAAGGCTTTTAAAGGAAAAAGAGGGGGTCACACAATGGTTTTGAGGTCATTGTTCTTGGCTGAAGAATCAGTAACAAGGGTAGTACCAGTCTGAGGTTAAACAGGCAGTTTCTGGGCAGATTTTGTTTTCTGCGTAAGGTTGCGATGACCATTGTGTGAGGCTGTGTGTGATTTTTGTGGCATAATATGGTTTGTCTGAGTTCCCACCCAAATCTCACCTTGAATTGTAGCTCCTGGAATCCCCACGTGTCATGGGAGGGACGTGGTGGGAGGTAATTGAATCATGGGGGTGGGTTTTTCCCTTGCTGTTCTCGTGATAGTGATAAGTCTCATGAGATGTGGTGGTTTTATAAAGGCCAGTTCCCCTGCACCCACTCTCTTACCTACTGTCATGTAAGACATGCCTTTCTCCTCCTCCGCCTTCTACCATGATTGTCAGGCCTCCCCCGCCACGTGGAACTATGAGTCCTCTTTTACTTTACAAATTATACAGTCTTGGGTATTTCTTCATAGCAGTATGAAAATGGACTAATGCAAGACGTCTTTTGTGATAATTCTTGTTATCAGGCATTCATGCATGGCTTTCCCCAGCACCATGTGTCAGGGTTTTTTTTTTTTTTTTTTTTTAAACACAAGTGATTCCATTTTGATTTGGACAGCTTTTACATCCTATTCAAATTTTACTGACTGCCCCACCGTTGTTTTTTTTCCCTCTCGGGCTCAGGATCCTGTCCAGGAAGTCATGTCACATGCAATTGTCACGTCTCTTTTTTAGGTGCCTTCATCTGGAACAATCCCTTGATCTTTTCTTGTCTTTCATCTTCCTGACAGTTCTTGACAGGACTTATATTCTGTAGGATGGGGATGGTGCTGTCTGATGCTTCCTCATGACCAGACTCAGTTGTGTATTCTGGGCAATAACTTCACATAAAGTTATTTCTTGTTCATCTCACTGCAGCGCACCAGGAGGCTCACGTGGTGTTAACCTCCATCCCCTGAGTAGGCAGGTGTCTGCCAGGATTTTCTGCATTAAACTCTCCAAATCAAATTATAATGGATTAGCATTTTATAGAGTGTTATTCTCAGATTACACCAATATCTTGTTCCTCGTCAAAGCTCCATCACCAAACCACCAGCATTCAGTGAAAACTCTTTTCTTAATACAGAAGTTTAAAGTGTGATCCTTTAGAAATACAACTATGCCAAGTTAAGTTAACTTTATGAATTATGCTATATCCACGCTATGGAATACCGCAAAGTTGTTAAAAAGAATGAATTATACCTGCGTTGTAGATATAAATGGCTGCCTGCTATTTATTAAGTTAGCAAAAAAGTCACAGAACAATGTTAGAATAATCCCATTTTTATAGTATATATGCATGAAAAAAACCTGAAAACTCTTATATCAGAATGTTAACAGTGTTCTTAGGGGGCATGTAACAACCTATAATGAAAATTGGGCTGTTTTCCCTATAGACTTGTCCATAGTCTGGATTTTACTGATATCAGCATCATGGTGTCATTTAACCTGTTCTTTTGATCCTTGTATTTCCCGTAAATCTGTAATTCATTCTAGAGGCTTTCTGAGGTTTAGGTTTAACGTGGGCCGGGTGGTAGGAAAAGGGCGCTTCCTAGGTGGGGTCATGTGTTCCCCTCAGGAGGTGCATGGTATGTGGTTGATATCTCTCTTTAATGATGCTGGAAGCCTTTTTATTTTATTATTAGAGGTTATAAGTTACAATGAAATGCTAATGGTGTTCATAATTCTACCATTCTTTACTTCTTTGTCAGCTGAAATACTTCTATAGAGAGAAATTTTTCAGAAACTACTTTGATTACCTCAAGGTATGGGCGGCTTTAATTCTTTCCCTTTATTTGCCACTGTTTAAAATAATGAGTTGGTTCCCTTAACATCTCCCAAAGATGACTAATGAGGTTTGTTTGGTTGTTTTAGTATCATTGTGGACTCTTGGATTTCATGACTGCAAATTATTTATTATCCTTTTGTTGCTCAAATTGTTCCATCTTTGGCCGAGAGCCTTTTCAAGTTGACTGCTGACTCCTTGGACAATCAGCTATCTTTGATAACTTCCTTGCTTTCTGAGCTGGTGGGATGTCCCAGGCTCATCTTGGGTATTTCTGGGCTCCTTTTATTCCCTCCACTGCTCCCCCAAAGACTTTGACCTATTCTCCTGAATTCCTGAAGATTATCATTTTCCAGTGCAGCAGACAGAAAAGACAGTGTATTTAGAATACCTATTATGTCTGTGTCCTAGAGGGAAGATCTAGAGAGAGGAAGAAGTGGAAGATACCGTGATTTAGAAAGGCATTTAAACTCATGAGGACCTGCTAGGGACCAGATGCTAATATGCTTTGCATAGGTTATCCCACTAAATCCTCCCAACAACCCTGTAAGGTAGGTTTTCTTTTTTTTCTTTTTTTGAGATGGCTCTGTCACCCAGGCTGGAGTGCAGTGGCATGATCTCGGCTCACTGCAGTGTCCATCTCCTGTGTTCAAGCGATTCTCCTGCCTCAGCCTCCTGAGTAGCTGGGACTTCAGGTGTGCACCACCATGCCTGGCTAATTTTTTGTATTTTTAGTAGAGATGGGGTTTCATTGTATTAGCCAGGATGGTTTCAATGTCCTGACCTCGTGATCTGCCCGCCTTGGCCTCCCAAAATGCTGGGATTACAGGCATGAGTCACCATGCCCGGCCAGTTAGGTTTTCTTTCTATCTTATAAGGGTAGGAACTAAACTTAGATGATCAAATGACTTCCACAAAGCCCCGCAGCTTGGAAGGGCTGGAACTCGGGTTTGAAAGTGGGTGTGTCTGCTATCAAAACCCATGGCTTTCTTCTATCGAGTAAGGATTATTGACCAGCCGCAGTGTCTCAGGAGTGTTGATGACTTCTCTTGGAGTGTGGCTCCGAGCAGGGCAAGCCCTGTCCTTTGCCAGGTCTGCCAGACCTTTGAGGCTCAGGTCCCATTAAACAGTAACACACAGGCACAGGCTGTGTGTCTCTACCTGTTTCCCCTCCACCGCAGCAGTGCAGCTGCCAGGACCCCTCCCTCAGTGGTGGCCCGGATAATGTGGACTTTGGCAGAGATTATCGGTAGCAAGTTTCCAGAGTCTTTACTGGTTGCCTGATGCTCCCTGAGCCCTGGAAGTCAGCTGCTATCCCTTTTTTGTTGTTGTTGTTGTTGTTGGCTAGAGATTAGGGGAGATTAAATAATTAACTATTTGGGTGGTTTTGTTTTTTACTGAAAGTGAAATAAAAAACATTGAGAACCAGGAGACAAATGTCAGTTTAGAGGATTTTTCAGTGGCTTTCATCTTATTTTTATCCAAGAATGATATTAAGTCATAATCAGACATTATCTGCCCTGGTTTCCAGGTCTCTGCTGGTAATATGTCTTTATTTTATATATATGTATATTTAAAATGGAGTCTCACTCTGTCACCCAGGCTGGCGTACAGTGGTGCAGTCTCAGCTCACTGCAACCTTTGCCTCCCCGGTTCATGAAATTCTCTTGCCTCAGCCTCCACATAGCTGAGACTACAGGTATGCATCGACATGCCGGCTAATTTTTGTATTTTTAGTAGAGATGGGGTTTCACCTTGTTGGCCAGGATGGTCTCAATCTCTTGACCTTGTGATCCGCCCGCCTCTGCCTCCCAAAGTGCTGGGATTGCAGGCGGGAGCCGCTGTGTCTGGCCGTCTTTTTTTTATTTCAGAAGGGAAGAAGCAGACATCCTAATGCAGTTGCATGGACACCGCTCTGGGGTCTGCTTCTCAGAGCAGGGTGAGGTAACTTTTTTCCTAACTTAGATAACTAGCCTGAGGACATTCCCCTAAGAGTTTCTTATTTGAGGCATAGAGGCAGCCTTTCTCTGTTTGCTAATACAAATGTGACAGTGACAAGCGTGTGTTACTTCTCCAGCGTGAGGGAGAAAGATGAGAAGGCTGCAGCATTCTTATGCTTTCATCCTCGTCCCTTGCTGGAAACTTGTCCACGATATCCATGACCTCGCAGAGCCGTGCCCAGGAGCCGCCTTGATAGCACAGGAAGCCCACCCTTCCCAGAGGGGAGAAGATGGTCACAAGGCCAGAGCAGGCTTTTCCAAGGCTCCCAGGGGTCCATGCCCAGGCCTCACAGCTCCTGCAGACACAGCACCTAGCTGCCCATACCCTGGGGCAGGACTGTGGAAAGAATTGTATCAGAAGAGAGAGGATACATCTCCTTTTCACATGGCCTTTGTCCTTTGTATAGAAGTCTTTTGATACTTTAAGTAGGCCATCACCAAAGTCCTTGGGAACTGGGCTAGATTGTTTCAACTTGGCATTGCTCTTACTCCCTGCTAAAGTCTCTGTTGCCAAGGAGAGACCAGGGAGTACATTTCCCAGAAGGCACCTCCCGCTTTGCTTCCAGGATAGGTCAGCTGATGAGGGGCCTTTGGTGAGTTTTGGAAAGGAAGGCCATTTTTTTTCAAGAAGCAGTAGTAGGCAGATGATTGGCTGGGAGTTTCAAAACAGCTTCTGAATACCTTTTTTTTTAGAGACAGAATCTCGCTCTGTCACCCAGGCTGGAGGGCAGTGATGCAGTCTCAGCTCACTGCAACCCCCCACTACTCCTGGGCTCAAGTGATCCTCCCACCTCAGCCTCCCTAGTAGCTGGGACCGTGGGCACATACCATCACACCCAGCTAGTTTTTTGTATTTTTAATAGAGACAGGGTCTTGCCATGTTGCCCAGGCTGTTTCCAGATAATGTCTTAAGAAAGTTAAGACTAGGCATGGTGGCTCACGCCTGTAACCCTAGCACTCCGGGAGGCTGAGGTGGGCAGATCACCTGAGGTCAGGAGTTCAAGGCCAGCCTGGCTAAGATGGTGAAACTCCATCTCCACTAAAAATGCAGAAATTAGCAGGGAATGGTGGTGTGCACCTGTAGTCCCAGCTACTCGGGAGGCTGAGGCAGGAGAATTTCTTGAAACCAGGAGGTGGAGGTTGCAGTGGGCTGAGATCACACCACTGCACTCCAGCCTGGCAACAGAGTGACAGAATGAGATTCTGTTTTGGAAGGAAGGAGGGAAGGAGGAAAGGAGGGAGGGAGGGAAGGAAGAAAAGAAAGAGGAAAGAAAGAAAGAAGGGAGGGAGGGAAGGAAAAGAAAAAGAAGAGGAGGAGGGGGAGGAGGAGAAGAAAGGAAAGAAAGAAAGCTCTGCTCCAGTGCTGCTGGCCGAAGTTGTTAGTGATGGTGTCTTAGTCCATTCGTGTTGCTGTGAAGGAATACCCGAGGCTGGATAATTTATAAATTGGATTTGGCTTATCATTCTGTAAACTGGAAGACTGGGCACCTGGTGAAAGCCTCAGTCTGCTTCCACTCATGGGGGAAGGCAAAGGGGAGCCACGCAGACATCACATGGCCAGACAGCAAGGGGGGGGACGGGGGTGCCTGGTGAGCTAATATAGTGAGGGCTCACTCTCTGCCTCCCCCACCCAGGGCATTCATCTACACATGAGGGGTCCACTCCCATGACCCACTGGGCCCCACCTCCAACCTTAAGAACAAATTTCAGTGTAAGATTTGGGGGAACAAACTCCTAAACTATAGCAGATGCCTTCCTGACATTATTTCCCTCAGTCTGCAATCCTCTGTATTAAACCTTTAATATTTGATATACATAGATTGGTTTCTGTCTTCCTGATGGAACTCTCAATGAGCGTATGTGATGGGGGAAGGTGTATCTTCACTGATAGGTTGGTCTCCTATAGGAGACCTCCAAAGGGAAAGACCATTCAAAGGTACCATGTCTCTCTCTCTATTTTCTGGAGGGCATTGACTCCATCCTGGCTCACTGCAACCTCCACCTCCAGAGTAGCTGGAACCACAGATGGGCACCACCACATCCACTGATTTTTGTATTTTTTGTAGAGGTGGGGTTTCACTGTGTTGCCCAGGCTGGTCTTGAACTCCTGGGCTCAAGCGATCCACCCCACCCACCTTGGCCTCCCAATGTGCTGGGATTACAGGCGTGAGCCACCGCGCCTGGCCAGCACCATGTCTTAACATAATGTTGGCTAATTGAGCAAAGAGCAAAGTTTGAAAACTTCCAACAAGTCTTCTGTTCAGGTGGTGGCGGCGGCCGAGACTGATCGCTTGGCGGCAGTGGTGCAGAGGCCTCCTCCCTGGTCTGCCAGGGTCCCTTCCCAACCCCGCCTGTCCCCGCTGCCTGCTGCCACAGGAGGAGCGGGAGGCGGCTGCTGCCAGCGGGCAATCAGTTCCAGTGGCGCTTCTCGCAAGTCAGTGGAGCCATCGAGGAGGATGTGACCGCAGATCTGCCACAGGGGACAGGCTGGAAGAGGCTTTGCTGACCAGCAGCGAGTGACCAGGGAGCTACACAGCCTCGCTCTGCAGCGGATATCATGTCCACCGTTGAGTTTAATTACTCCAGAGATCCTGCAGCAGGAGACGAGGTCTGCGGAGTTATTTTTCAGTGGGAACCTAAGAATAAAAGCCACTCTTGTTCTAGGGGATAATACAATGTTTACAGTACCTTTCAAAATCATGAACCAGCGTTTGTCTATTAGAAAAGTCTAGAAATTGAGGAAAAAATAAAATTGGTTACAGCAGAACGCTGTTCATTTTCTACTCTCTACAAATGATAAAACTATACAGTTATGGAAAAGAAGTGAATGGGATAAAAGAGCAGAAAGTTATAACGTGAATGATGAAGATGGATTACTTTGAGATCCATTTAGAATTATAGCACTATTGGCTGGGTGCGGTGGCTCACGCCTGTTATCCCAGCACTTTGGGAGGCGAGATGGGCGGATCACAAGGTCAGGAGATCAAGACCATCCTGGCTAACATGATGAAACCTATGTCTACTAAAAATACAAAAAATTAGCCAGGCATGGTGGCACGCGCCAGTAGTCCAGAAACAAAGAGGGAGCTGAAACCAGAACCATAGCCTCTAACAGCATTTATTCCAAGAGGAGCCCCACAGCCCTGTCTGGCCTCAGATGCATCAGCCAGTAGCCAGAACCGCTGCCTCCTGAGAACAGCAAGTTGTGGGGCAGAGCTGCAGCCTCGGACCACATGAGCTGTGGCGCTGGGACCGGCCCTCAGAGGTGATGAGGCCTCTGTCCACTGGAGTCCAGAGGGAAGTTAATCCGAGAGCTTGCATTGGGGTGGCCAAAGCCTCCCTGAGATGTGTAAGCACAGCCTCCCATTACAAGGGTTTGAAGGGATCTGGAAATGCTCACGCTGAGGAGCTCTCCTGCCTCCTAGAGGGCAGCATGCAGGCGCCTGGAGGGACTGACTTTTTCTGGGCCTGGCTTCCACTGTTTCCACACTCACCTGCTAGCCTGCAAGTTTCACAGATGTTGACTGGAGACATGAGGTTCCCCGGTCCCTGGAGCACAGCAAGTAGCATGAGCCTCTTGCTGGCACAGGTTCCCCACGGGTGACATGAGGGGCTCAGGCAGATGCTGTGTAGGCAGTGGGGCTAATGCCATGGCCGATGCTTGCTGAGGTTGGAGAACTCACTGCTTTTTCAGTGGACAGTCAACAAACCTGCATTTTGACCAGAGAAAACGTGACCTCATTCCTCCAGGCCACTTGCCATAAGCACAGCCCTGAGAAGTGGCCCAGGTAAAAAGAATGGCATTCTTGGCAAACTCAGTGAGAACATGCGTGGTGGGTGGCTGCTCCCAGCACACCCAGGTCTCTGGATTTCCCCAGATTAAAGTCAGCTAAACATGAGCTCACAGGTAAAAATTACCAAGCGCATACAGGAAAAGCCACCATGAACAAGTCAGCAGAACTACAGCAGAACTGAACCTCTGAGAACCCAGCCTTTGACATCCTAAATTCAACTAAGAATGCTTGAGCTATTTTCAAACTAACGGAAGGAAACGACCTGAACCAGAAGCCATAAGCCCACTAAAAATGACCTGGCAGACTGAAGAGGAATCAAAGAGAGTGTCTGGAAATGGCAAGTGCAATTGACGAAGCTGTGGGCTTAGCAACAGGTCCATTTTGGCTAAGGAGATTTTGAATGAGTAGATGGAAAGGAAAACCAGAAGAAATGCAGACTAGAGAGCCAAAGAGATAGAAAACGTGAAATACAAGAACTATTGCAGGGTCCAGCCTCGCAGGGTCTAGTGGGTGTTCTTTTGTGTGCAGAGACAATAGATTGCAGAAAAGAAAGACACAAGACACAGAGATAAGAGAAGAATTCAGCTGGGCCCAGGGGACCACTACTATTAAGGCAGAGTCCAGTAGTGGCCCCGAGTGCCTGGACGCGCTGATATTTATTGAATACAAGGCAGGGGGGCAGGGTCAGGAGAGTGAATCATCTGACATGATTAATAGGGTCAAGCAAATCCCGTGCTTACAGTACAGGGGGCCCTCCCTTTCAGGTAGCCGCTGCAGGGAGGGGAGGCACACACGTCAGCATCTGTCTATGTACTTACCAGAAAGATTAACGGCTTTTAGGATTCCTCTATTCTTCTCACAACTTAGAAGAACTTAAAAAGAGCTCCGGGTGAGAAGGCGGAACATGAAAGCGGACAGGGATGGTGACCATTGGAGCACAGCACCACAGAGAGGCATTGAAGCCCTGGATGTCTTCGGGCAGGTCTGGCTAATGTCAGGCCTTCCTTAAAAGCCGGGCAGAGCAGAGTGTTCCGTGGACTCCCCAGTGAGAGGGAAACTCCCTTTCCCGGCCTGCTAAGTAACAGGCGCCTTCCCAGGTGCTGGTGCTACTGCAAAGCTCTCACGCTGGCCTCCTGAGCACTTCTCACAATGTCCCTTCAGTTCCTAACTGTATTTCACCCGATTATGTCTACACTATAAGACAAAAATGTTTCTACACTATAATACTAAGGCAAAGATTAATAGTAGAGAATAATGGTTGCCCTGGATACAGAGAGGAGTGAAGAATTGGGACCATTTATTCAGTCTACCATATTTCTCATAATCCTGTCTTTTTATGGACTTCTCTGTGAGTAACAGTGTTTTAGCTCAAATAACACAACACAGCTTTGCCCCAGGGTTGGCCTCTTTTAAGTGGCTGATAGATGATTAGTTTCTTAAATCTCAACATTCCCACAGGATTCTGAGAAGCAATTTTGTTAGATAGTTTAGGCTTGGAGGATGAAAAAAGTTTCGGTGTGGGTTCTTCAAGGTCAGTCGGGTTGGAAACACCTTGTCCTCCCCTTCCCTTCTGTGCAGTGAAGACGGTCTTCAGATGGTGTGTAGACAGCGAATTGCTGCAGAAACATGGCCTGATCTCTCCGGAAGATTACTACACCGATAGAGTGCCGTTTCACTCTGCACCTAAAGGTAATGCTTCTGTGCTCCCAGCCCCTCTGATCGCATTCCGGGAAAGTTATGCTGTAGCAGAGTCGCATTGGCCACCTCTGCTGCCATTTCCTTGTTCACGGGTTTTTTTCCCCTTTTCTTTAATTTTGGTGGTGACTGTTGGGAAAGTCAAATCTAAGCATGCCAGTTTCTCACTAGTGCTCCCCAGTCTGTACGACTGAAGTGCAGGCTTCTCCATGTGGACTATGACGCCCACATCTGCTGCCCAACACCAAGAGTTATGAAAGTGTTTTGAGTAGTAGTTGAACCAAGAGAAGGAAAAACTGAAGACATAGATAAGCAAAGGAGCATGCTGATGGGTTGGAACATGGACCTATGGGTTTTCCCATCCTGAAAAAGAGCAGCTTCCCAACCTCTCAGAAGGGAGGGAAGGCTGAGTGGAGAGGCAGGGACGGTGTGTACATGTATGTGACATTGGGCCAATTTCCTGTGATATGGGAGGCAAGATATTCTGAGAGTGAGTGGGGTGGGAGGCTGTGATGTAGGTTTAAGCAGAGAGTTAGACTTTCGAAAGAGTCCCTGTGTGATGGGGAGAAGTCCCTGTGTGGATCCTGGGCCAGATATCAGGATTGCCTAGCATGCTGGGCTCAGAAGATGAGCTCTCACATAGCTCCAGTTGTGGGACTGTTTGATTCTCTGGGGCTTGGGGGCTGAGAAGGTATTTGGGGTGGGAGGATTGGGATCTAGAAAACTGAGGGGGCTCCTGGGAAGAGCTCCACTGATGGTCTCAGCTACATGGGAAAGTAAGGCAAGAAAGAAGTAGCAGAATCAAGCTCCGTGGAGTACTAAGCCACTTACTATTTTAAAGTTAGTTGGAAACTCACTATCTTATGCAGGTCGTTATGCAGGTCGATAAGAATGGGGCTAACATGTATTGAGGATTTATCAGGCATTGTGCTAAGAGATCTGTGATGGTGTCCATTTCATTGCATTCTTGCTAGCAGTGAATGCTCTCATTTAACCTTTAGGGGGATGATTTTTTTTTTCTTTGAGACAGAGTTTTGCTCTTGTTGTCCAGGCTAGAATGCAGTGGTGCCATCTTGGCTCACTGCAACCTCCGCCTCCCAGGTTCAAGAGATTCTCCTGCCTCATCCTCCTGAGTAGCTGGGATTACAGGTGCCTGTCACCATGCCTGGATAATTGTTTTTTTGTATTTTTAGTAGAGACAGGGTTTCACCCTGTTGACCAGGCTGCTTTTGAATCCCTGACCTCAAGTGATCCACCTGCCTCAGCCTCCCAAAGTGCTGGGATTACAGACGTGAGCCACCGCATCCAGCCAGCGGGTGGGCGATGATCTTGAGGGTGTAAAAAGCTTACACAAACTTTCATTCCTTTGGTGAGCTCTTCAGAAAGTGTGCTCATGTATGTGTACATGCATGTGTGTGTGACAGTGGTCTACCCATGTTCTTTGACCATGTTGGAAAACTGAAAATATTTTAGCACTCTAGTCCTAAATTTTGTTGTTGTTATTTGTTTGGTTTTGAGAACCAGGTCTTGCTTTGTTGCCCAGGCTGTAGTGTAGAAGCAAAACCATAACTCACTACAGCCTTGATCTCCTGGGCTGAAGCAATTCTCCCTACTCAGCCCCCTGAGCAGCTGGGACCACAGGCATGCACTACCACACCTAGCAAATTTTTTTTTAGACGGAGTCTCACTCTTGTTACCCAGGCTGGAGTGCAATGGCACGATCTCAGCTCACCGCAACCCCCGCCTCCTGGGTTCAGGCAATTCTCCTGCCTCAACCTCCTGAATAGCTAGGATTACAGGCATGCACCACCATGCCCAGCTAATGTTTTGTATTTTTGGTAGAGACGGGGTTTCACCATGTTGACCAGGATGGTCTTGATCTCTTGACCTCGTGATCCACCCGCCTCGGCCTCCCAAAGTGCTGGGATTACAGGCTTGAGCCACCCCGCCCAGCCAAAATTTTTAATCTATTTTTTGTAGACACATGCTCTCACTCTCACTGTGTTGGCCAGGCTGGTGTCAACTCCTGGGCTCAAGTGATGTTCCTACCTTGGCCTCCCAAAGTGCTCTGGTTACAGGTGTGAGCCACTGCGCCCAGCCATTTTGAATCCATAGAATAAGTTTCAGGATCATTCATATGTTGAAGAGTGACTACAGCCGGTGTTGTACATGTGAAAGTTTAGGAGAAAGATCAAGCTAACTGTGACTTTGGTGGTTTTATTTGGTCATCTTAGAAATGCCCACTTCCTTGAAACGCTTAGAATGAAAAATGAGTAGTAAAAAAAAAAAAAAAATTAAAAGACAAAAAAAATGTCCACTTCCTCACCTTGCTATAGTAATTCAATTTGTTTCCTTGATGCTGGAGGCATCTCTGTACCAGGATATTTAAAAATGACATTTAGCTGTGAGCAGCATTCCATCCCAAAGAAAGAGCTGAACAAGAAGCTTAAAGACTCATGCAGAAAAAAGCTTGCTAAGCTTGAAGATGAGTTAGACCACACTGTGGACAGCGTGACATGGAACTCAACTCCTAAGGCCAAACAAAGGACCAGGGAACCTCTCAAGGTCAGTTTGGAAGCCTGTGCACAGCAGTATTTGGGGGGACAGAGAGGCAGTGAAGGGGAAGGCATTCCGATGACACGAGAAGCTGTGATGAATCCGTTGCAGAATAGAGTAGAGCTTGCATTGGCCATCTATGGGTCATGCAGCTGGTCAGGAAGTCAACACGCACAGTCCCTTTGTCTGTCATTGACTCTGTGCTTTTGTGTGTTTCAAAGAAAACAAGTCCACCAAAGAATAAAAACTGGATGAGCCACTTACGTGTGCCGCAGAGAGAACTAGACCGACTTCTGCTTGCAAGAATGGAAAGTCGGAACCAGTTCCTAAAAAACCCCCGTTTTTTCCCTCCTAACACTCCACATGGAGGCAAGTCTCTTGTTTTTCCTCCAGAGAAGCCAACACGGATAGGAGAATTCCAGAGAACAGAACCAGAACAGAGGTATGTCTTTCCCTGACTTGAACTCTCAGAAAATCTGACCCTTTAGAGTAAACCTAGATGGTCCTCCGTTGGTCTGGCTGTAGAGGCCCCTAGACTTGTGGGGCAGGGTAGCAGTATCAGAACAGAGTAGGGCGGCAGGGTCACCCACAGGTGGGCCTTTGGACCTTCCCCAGAGTCCTGGGTTTATGCTTTTCTGACCTGCCAGGGTCTTGAGAAATAGGGGTTGATGTTGGCCCTTTACTCACATTGGAACAATCTGGGTCAAGTGGAAACAATCCCATTAGAGGCATAGGTCTTGAATAATAACAGTGTTTGAAATTTGATTAATTATAAATAATTAGTGCAAACTGTGATTTTTTAAAGAGTGCCTTTGCCTATATATCAGTAATGGTCTTTATGAAAGTAGAGTTGCTTCATAGGTTCATAATTTTAATAAGCCAAAAACTATTAACATTTCTTTATTAGATAACTAATATCTTTTTATTAAGAAAAATTAGATACAAAAATTAGCTGAGTGTGGTGGTGTGCACCTGTGATCCCAGCTACATGGGAGGCAGAAGTGGGAGGATCACCTGAGCACAGGGATTTCGAGGCTGCAGTGAGCCAAGATTGTGCCACTGCACTCCAGCCTGGGTGACAGAGTGAGATCCTGTCCCAAAAAAAGAAGGAAGGGAAAGGAAGGGGAAGGAAGGGGAGTGGAAGAGAGGGGAGGGGAGGGGAGGAGAGGGAAGGGGAAGAAAGAAAGAAAGAGAAAGAAAGAGAGAGAGATTAGAAAAGACTAATATTTGAGATACCTATATTAAAAACCCAGTTACCTATTGGTGTTTAAACATGTAGAGTTTTTCATATGCATATTGAAAATGAAATATGTACCTACTTATGTCTTCACAAAGATTAGATCGTACTGTAAAATGATTTGATAACCTGCATTAACAACAAGAACCAAAAAGAAGACCCCAACAAATGACATATCATGCATATCTTTGATGGCCTTTGTGTATTTATTTTTATATTAATCAGTCACTGCCTACTATTTCATTGTATGGTTGAAACTAACAGCCTCTCTCCCCCTCTTTTCATCCCACAGTTGTGCTGATACTCCAGTGTTTCTAGCTAAGCCACCAATTGGCTTTTTCACAGATTATGAAATTGGACCAGTTTATGAGGTAGTCATCTTGTTTCTGTACAGCTCCCACCCATCTGCTTCCTTTATTTTTTATTTTTTTTGAGAGGGAGTTTCACTCTTGTTGCCCAAGCCGAAGTGCAATGGTGCGATCTCGGCTCACTGCAACCTCCACCTCCCAGGTTTAAGCGATTCTCCTGCCTCAGCCTCCCAAGTAGCTAGGATTACAGGCATGCATCATCACGCCCAGCTAATTTTCTATTTTTAATAGAGACAGGCTTTCATTATGTTGGCCAGAATGGTCTCGAACTCCTGACTTCGGGTGATTCACCCACCTCAGTCTCCCAAAGTGCTGGGATTACAGGCAGAAGCCACGGTGCCTGGTGGCTTCCTTATTTTTAAAAAGTCTGTGTTACGGAAATTTTCATCTCTACACAAAACTAGGGGAAAGACTATAACAACCTCTCATGTGCCCAACATGCAGCTTCGACAGTCATCTACATTCTGCCAGTATGGTTTTAACTATCAGTCCTACAACCTCTTCATGTGCACGTCAATGTTCACGTGTATGTGCTGGAGTCACATAAGGAAAAGCCCAGATAGCACAATACATCAGTTAGTATCTCTGACAGGTAAGGGTTTTAAAAAGTGACCACAGTGCCACTGTCACACCCAGCCATGTTAACAACGATTCCTTAATATCGATTAATAGCCATCTATGTCGGATCTTCATTTTTTTTTAAGTCCATTTATATTTTGTTTGTTTGCATCAGAATCTAAACACTGCATTTGGTTAAAGTATCTGTTAATTCTCTTTTAGTTGATAATAATTCCTCCCCCACCTCCTGCTTTTTAAAAATGCCATTTATTTATTGAAGAAACTGCAATTTCTTACATCCTGGATTTGGCTAATTGCATTATTGTGGTGACATTAAACATGTTCTTTTATCTTCCATATTTTCCACAAACTAGTCATTAGAGATTTGATGAGATTCAAGTTCCATTTTTCCTAACTGTTTGACAGGAATACTTTTTTGGTGGCACTGTGCATTTCTTGTTGCATTCCATCAGGAGGAAGCATGGGATCGAGGTTCCCATTATCAGTTATGAATGGTGTCAGGTGTTGTAAGTCTGATTCATTCTCTATGAAGTTCTGATCAAACTTTCACTTAATAGTTAACAGCCTAGATGACTGTCAGATGACTATTGTTCAGATCCATTTTTTCCTCAATTAGGGTTTACAAAACGGTAATTTCTAATTCTGTTATTCCTTCTACATTTATTAGCTGTGATTTTCTATTTAAAAAACAGAAACAAAACTTTCCTTCTAACTTGGATTCCTATCTCCTCCTCTTTCTTGTACTCTCCTGACATCTATAGGTAACTATTCTATTAGTTTCTTTGTGAACCATAAGCAAATGTGTATATATATTTGAACCCCCTCTCCTTCTACTGTCCTCTACATCTTGACAGTATATCCAGTAATTCCTGCAAAAGCAGAGACTTCCCTCATTCCTTCTTCCCAGCTTTTTTCTTTTAAAAGCCTCCCACCATCTTGGGGAATCAGGTCAAGACCAAGCTTAGCAGTCACCAACTCTGCTCACCAGGTGCAAAGACAACTAGGCCTCATGATAAGAATCCCTTCACACACACATGGATTGCATTTTATAGTTTAAAGAGCACTTACACATCCATAATTATGTCTAACCGCTAAGGGCAAAAAGCAGAGCAATACGATAAATCTACATGCTGAACATTAGAGGAAGTATTTTGCGTACTCCTTGGACTTAACAGTAATGTGTTGTCTTTCGTACATCTGGGTCTGGGACTTCTGTGTGTGGCCATCATGTTTCAAGGACAGTTGGAGAAGCTGGCAAACATGCAGAGGAAGGGGGCTAAAATCATGTCAGTGAGGGAGTAGAACAGGGAAAAGGAAGAGCTGCTCAAGGACATATGAAGATACTCCTCTGCAGGCCTGCAGATGCCTGCCATGGAAGCCTGTGCTCAGACTCTGGAGACTCTGAGGCTGTAGATGAGGCAGACATGGACTGCCGGGGAGCAGCCTTTCCTCCGGTCTTTGCTTACTTTTCTAATTCTCATTCCTTTGATGTTCATAACATTTATTTACCCGGCTAAACTATAAAGTGTAAGGATAAAAACGTTTCACATTTTCAGTCTTTAAAAATTTATGTCTCTATCGGGCACGGTGGCTCACGCCTGTAGTCCCAGGACCTCGGGAGGCTGAGGCGGGTGGACCACCTGAGGTCAGGAGTTCAAGACTAGTCTGACCAATGTAGTGAAACCCTGTCTCTACTAAAAATACAAAAAATTAGCCGGGCATGGTGGCAGGTATAATCCTAGCTACTCTGGAGGCTGAGGCAGGAGCATCACTTGAACCCAGGAGGCAGAGGTTGCGGTGAACTGAGATTGTGCCATTGCACTCCAGCCTAGGCAACAAGAGTGAGACTCTGTCTCAAAAAAAAAAAAATTATGTCTCATGCACCCTTTCTCAGGAACCTCCCAGGGAACATGCTCCTGTAATAGAAATAAGGAAACCAAAGAAGAGGAAGGCGTGGAATGTGGTACCAAGAGATGCAACAGAGGAGAGAGGCGGAGGAAAGCTCCAGGCTCATGGCTCTTAGGAGATTTTGCAGTTAATACAGCTGCAAAGCAAATTTTCCCAAAGCTTAGCAACTTAATCATTTTATCTTGCTTACAGATTCTTTGGGTGAGACATTTAGACAGAGCACAGTGAGAATGGCTTGTTCCACAGTGTTTGAGGCCATCGCTGGAAAGTCAGTGCCTAGGAGTGACATAAAAGTTGGGGTTAGTGCTGTTGTAGATAGATAGCTGAGGCTGTGTACCAGAATGTCCGTACCACATAGCTTATCTCTGTGGGCTGGGCTTCCTTACAGTATGGCAATCTCAGGTTCATCAGACTTCTATATGACAATGCAAGTGAGCATCTGTACTCTTTTCTTTTGAGATGGAGTCTTGCTCTGTCACCCAGGCTGGAGTGCAGTCGCAGGATCTTGGCTCACTGCAACCTCTGCCTCCTGGGTTCAAGCGATTCTCCCACTTCAGCCTCCTGAGTAGCTAGGATTACAGGTGCACGTCACCACACCTGGCTAATTTTTTATATTTTTGATAGAGGTAGGGTTTGCCACATTGGCCAGGCTGGTCTTGAACTCCTGACCTCAGGTGATTTGCCCACCTCAGCCTCCCAAAGTGCTGGGATTACAGGCGTTAGCCACTGCACCTGGTCAAGTATCTGCACTTCTTAGTGAGTACCCTAGCAAGCAAGGAGGAGATTGCATCACATTTTATGACCCAGTCTGGAAGTTGCACAGCACTACCTCCTCTGCATGTGGTAGATTACAAACAAGTCACTAAGGTTGGTCCAGATTCAAGGGAAGGTATGTAGACTTCATCTCCTTTTTTTTTTTTTTTTGAACCCTCCCCCCTTTTTCTTGAAATAGGATCTGGCTCTGTCACCCAGGCTGGAGTGCAGTGGTATGATCTTGGTTCACTGCAACCTCCACTTCCGAGGCTCAAGCAACTCCTCCCAACTCAGCCTCCTGAGAAGCTGGGGCTACAGGGACATGCCACCACACCTGGCGAATTTTTGCCTTTTTTGTAGAGACAGGTTTTTGTATGTTGCCCAGGCTCGTCTCAAACTCCTGAACTCAAGTAATCTACCCGCCTTGGCCTCCTAAAGTGGTAGGATTACAGGCGTGAGCCAGTGTCTGGCCTAGACTTCATCTCTTAATGAGAACAGTGTCAAAGAACTTATGGATGTGTCTTAAAACTGCTACAGGAGTTATCCTTTATGATAGCAGTAGGTGTAGTGGGCAACTAGCTCAGATTACAAGAGGCCAGAAGACTCTAGGAGAGGTATGGAGATGCCATTGACAAGAGTCCCTGATACATCTGGACATACTGGGAAGAGATTGGTAGGGTAGTGGAGAAGGATTGAATTATTGATTAAGTATGAAGCAGACAAAATAATTAGTTGATTATTAACTCCAGGAAAATCAAAAATTGTACAAGGCAAGGAAAGGACTCATAGTTTCTTCATGCTCAGCTGTGAATAGCATTTACTTTTTTTTTTTTTTTTTTTTTTTGAGAAGGAGTTTCACTCATGTTACCCAGGCTGGAGTGCAATGGCGCGATCTCGGCTCACCGCAACCTCCGCCTCCTGGGTTCAGGCAATTCTCCTGCCTCAGCCTCCTGAGTAGCTGGGATTACAGGCACGCGCCACCATGCCCAGCTAATTTTTTGTATTTTTAGTAGAGACGGGGTTTCACCATGTTGACCAGGATGGTCTCCATCTCTTGACCTCGTGATCCACCCGCCTCGGCCTCCCAAAGTGCTGGGATTACAGGCGTGAGCCACCGTGCCCGGCCTAGCATTTATTTTAGTAACTTGAATATAACATGAATCACTAATCTAACCAGTACTATGATATAACTATATTGGAAAGATGGGGATAGGAAGGGCATGTCATATGGTGAGTTGGATATAGGAGAGGGAAGAGAGAATATCCATATCCTCCATCCGTAATTAATACTTAAAACTGAAAAAAGTAGTATGCTATTTGGAAACATGGAAATAAATACCAAAATAATCAGCTAAAGGAGGAAAAAGTGTTTATCTTTGGGAAATGGCAGGGTGGGGCAGGGGAAGATGGCAGTATTTCTATTTTGAAAACCTTGTCAAACTCTGTGGCTGTCCAACTTAGATGAAAATGACTTAAAAAAATTTTTTTCCACAGAAAGAAGCACCAGGCCCAGATCATTTTACAGGTGCAGACTACCAAACATTTAAGCTATCCCCTGTTTTATGAAACTGTTTCAGAGACTAGAAAAAGAGGGAATGTGCCATCATTATTAGGTAATAAGCCTAATTACCTTGACACCAAATAGAAACATATGCCAGTCTTGGAGCACCACACACATACACACACACACAGACACACACATACACACACACGCACGCACACACACACTGCAAACCCAGGAATGCAAGGAATGTCTTCACAGCAGGCCTGGAGTTGGCAGATGGCTCTCGTGAGCCTATTATTTTTTTCCTCCAAAGCTTCCAGTACTGTTTAGGAAAGCCAGCCCATGCCACAATCCTTATAATGATCACTGTCCCAAACCTTGCAGCCACCACAGCTACCATGTTCCACTGCCTGGCCTTCCATCTGCACCTCATTTCAGCTGACTGCTAGTGAAAGCCTTGGTCATTGTGATGACGCCGTCCATGGTGCTCACACCCAAGTTCCCACCAGCTGGTTCACAGATGGATTCGTGTAATATGTCGTGTTGGCCAAAAATGGATGTAAATGCCACTTTAGGAATACAAACCTATAAATACAATTATGAAGACATGCTTCATATTTATGTCGATTTTTATCTGGTGGGGAGCTGGTAGAGGATTTGAACTTCATCTGTAATGTTTTCTTTCTTAAGTTGGGTGATGGAAACATGGCTTCTGTCATGTTATAATTTATACATTTTTTTCTCGTATAACGTTTCACAAAATATTAACAAAAGCTGTGTACCTGTATTGTTGTGCCACGCACTGTGCTGGGTGCTGTTAGGTCTAGGCCTTGCCCTGGGGGGGTCTTCCAGTCTGGGGTGGGAGAAGAGAAGGGGGGGCTTAAAAGTGGGTGAGTGGGTTGCATAAGTGGCCTGATTACATCCTGACATAGAGGTGCCATAACACGCTTTGACTGTGACCGTGGGAAGGATAGTTCAAAGAGTTATGTAGTGAGGAACACACTAAGAGGTGAGGTGAACAAAACTTTGGAACCAGATACCCTAGGCTCACACCGCACCGGCGCCTCTTTGAACTCCAGTTTCTTCGTCTGTGAGATAGAAACAGCTCCCACCTTTCCTGGTTGTTGCGAGGTTGAGGAGACACAGAGCAGATGCTCATAAACAGTAGTTGCTATTTTAAACAATAGGTCAGATCTGTTCCTGCCTTCATTTTTACCTTGCATTTTATTTATCTGTAAATTTTTTAATTCATTTTTTTTTTGTAGAGACAGTCTCTTCATGTTGTCCAGGCAGGTGTCAAACTTCTGACCTCAAGTGATCCGCGTACCCCAGCCTCCCAAAGTGCTGGGGTTACAGGCGTGAGCCACTGCACCTGGCCTGTATTTTATTTTTTACTATGGGAGCTTCCCAAAACAAACAGATGTCCATAGGATGGCATAAGGGGTCCCCGTGTACACTTCAGCCAACTTCGAAAGTTCCCAACATGTGGCCAAGTCTATTTCATTTCTGCCTCTACCCCCTTTGCATATTATGTAGAGTAAATCCTAGACATTGTGTCATTTCATCCATAAGTGTTGCTGTCTAAAAGAGATCACCTTACCTTTCAACAGATGGTAATCGCACTGCAGAACACCACCACAACCAGCCGCTACCTGCGAGTCCTCCCACCTTCCACTCCATACTTTGCTCTAGGACTGGGTAAGTTCAGTATCAGTAAGTTCAGTGGTACTAATAGTAGTAGTGGTAGTAATAGTAGTGGTGGTAGTAGTAGTAGTGGTAATAGTAGTAGCAGTGGTAGTAATACTGGTAGTAGTAGTATTAATGGTGGTAGTGGTAGTAGTGGTAGTGATGATAGTAGTGGTAGTAATGGTAGTAGTGCTAGTAGTAGTGATGTAGTGGTGGTGGTGGTGGTGGTAGTAATGGTGGTAGTAGTGGTAGTAATGGTAGTAGTGGTGGTGGTGGTGGTGATAGTAGTGGTAGTAGCAGTAGTGGCAGTAGTAGTGGTGTAGTAATGGTAGTAGTAGTGGTGGTGGTGGTGGTGGTAGTAATGGTGGTAGTAGTAGTAATGGTAGTAGTAATGGTGGTAGTAGTCATAATGGTGGTAGTAGTGGTGGTAATGGTAGTAGTAGTGGTGGTGGTGGTGGTAGTGATAGT